AGGCCTTATCCAAGACAGAACTGGAGCGTTTCCACCTTTCCAGAGAGGCGGAGGCCTGCCCGTTTCCATATAATTATATGCTTCATACAAAGCATGAATATAAAACCATATTAAACCCCAGAGAGGGAAGCCATGTAGCACTGTCACACAAAACGCACACAGGAAAACACCTACAAGGAACAAAATATTCAAGATAACAACCAAAGATGCAGAATGGCTGTGAAATACGTCTGTTATAAGAGTAGATTGCATAGGAAAGAGGTGTGATTTTCTCCCAGTTCTCACAGGAAGGGACTAAGGGGTATGAGTAGAAGTTAGACAAAAACTCTCAGCACTCCTCCCTGGTTTCCACTGAGCCTTGGGAAAGGCCAAGGCTTCCATGATGAACATGGTTGCATGGGAAGGATTCATCAGTCATGCTTCAGTATGAACAGGAGCAGGCTGCGCTGGAGACAGTGACAGAACTCAGCTGTTTCAGGGAGTCTCCTTGATTGTGAAAGAACATACCATACAGCAGGGAAATCATATATATATATATATAAATCCTTGGTTACACTGTGACACAGTGATCCATCTCCTGAGATAAAAAAAACAGACTGAGAGACGGTCAGGGTGGACAGACTCCACAGAGATTTGACAACTCCAGGGAATCTTTAATCTGAAATTTTTATTCCACTGAGCCTAGCAAGCAAATGCTCAAAGAAGGGTGATATTAAACCCAAGAGGCACCACTCTCCAGCACTCTTTCCTTCCCCCACGTAAGACTCCATTCCACTTCCATCTCCTTTTCCACTTGCAGCTACAGCATGACAATCAAGATGCTTTTCAGGCAGGCCTGTAAGTGAAAAGGGGCTGCCTCCATGACTCCAGTCTAGAGCACCTTATGGCCTCCTCAGACTGTTAGTTTAAGGCCCTCTGAGTCCATGTGGACTTCACTTACTAGGCTTTCCCTCTCCATCTGCTGTGGATGCCAGATGTCCTTCCATGGCTTCATGAGCACCTAGTAGAGGGAGGAAGCTTCAGGACTTCTTTGTCACGAAGGTTCATACAATGAAAGGATGAGGGTGCTTTTCAACACCAAGTACCCTCTCAAGATCAGCAAGGCCTCCAATTCCAGGCTCTTGTAACTGCCAAACTATCACTGACAAGCATCCCTGAACAACTCTCTTGACTCAGACTCTTCTCCAAGCATCCTCGACATACCACTTTCAGAACTGAGTTCTAACAAGAACCAGGCATTCTCGTCTTTTTAGGTTATGACACATGCCATGTCCTCCCCAATATCTCCACGTCCCTCAGGCAGGGCTTTGTACCACTCACGATCACCCAGGCCTCATTCAGCACCACTGCATAGTGCCACGAATTGCTGGACAGCAACTAGCATCCTCATATTCTCCCTCCCAGGCTGACAGAGTCTTCTGCAAATCCTTAGATTCACAGCAACAATGTCATTTAAAAACAAAACAAAACAACATAAATGGATTGTACCAAATATGCATTTTCAAACAAATGAACCCCCCAAAGAGATTTCACATGATTTACAACAATGGAACAAAAATTACTGAACAACAGTACAAAATAGATACACTAGGTGTTTTTGCTGAGATTCAGAGGGACCTCAACAGGCTGGAGAGATGGAGCAGTGGGAGGATCACTAAGGGCAAGTGTAAGATCCTGCAGCTACGGAGAAATAAACCCTTACACCAGTACAAATTGGGACTGCCCTGCTGGAGAGCAGCCACAGAGAAGAACCTGGGAAGGCTGGTTCACCATGAGCCAGCAAAGTGCTCCTTGTGTCCGAGAAACCCAACGGTATGATTAAGGGATTGCAGCACCTCTTCTGTGAGGTGAGGCTAAGACAGCTGCGCCTGCTCAGCATGAAGAAGAGAGACAAGAAGAGTGTTCGGTGGTCGTGGCAAATAATAGCAATGTTTACAAGTATCTGAAGAGAGGGAATAACACCAGCTGCTAAGCAGGAGATTGGGTCTCCTGTCTTTCAAAACCACAGGGGAAGGGCCCTTAAATCTCGCTGGAAAGCATGTCTGAGATGGAAAAGGTCCCAGCGTCACAACCCCGACAACTTCACAGTTTGATGAAAATCCCATCACCAGCACTGACGAGAAGACCCTCCTCCAGCACCACTACCAAAAGCAAAGAAGGAAAAAAAATCCGGGGATAAAGGGAAGAAGTTCACAGAAGGGATCCTACCGAGCCCCACCGGCCTCCCTCTCATTCACTCACGCCGGAGAACATCAAAGACGGAGCCATCAGCGCTAATTACGGGCAGCACCTCCCTCGCATTTCCCATTAACACTCAAGGAATGGAAAACGCCTTACGGAATTACCTGCATCTACTGAATGCGGTTATGCCATTCATGAAGGCAAACACTTTTCTTTGGCAAAGGCTGAATCTTCTATAACGAGCATATTTGCATGAGAAGGATGCACCGCTCATGCTTCACCACGAGTAGGCACAGACTTTTCCTCTGAAGTCTCAGGCACTCTGCTTGGCTATCAGACGTTTTTGTACCTCCTTCTCTGATTTGAAACTGATGAAAGAAGGTCAAAACTCTTATTGAGGCAGACCGGTGCATGAAAAGGGGCTCTCTGCAGATTTAACAAGACCTCTAAGCACACTTCGTGTGAGGATCTCCGTAGGGACTTCCCCTCCAGAAGTTACCCTCCTTCTCAAAGCACACATCCGCTCCGAAAGCTGCGAGCATTTGCAAGTGAAATAAGATACAACAGACAGCACTGCCTAGAGGTAGACATCAAAGAGGTGGCAAGGAGCAGCCCCCTGAGAGGAGCCGAGGGAAGAGCCCGGATCAAGGAGACGCCACGAAAGACAGAGGCAAAAGCGAGCAAGGAGTCTCAGAGGAGGGAAAGAACAGGGAAGGGAAGGGCGGAGGCGGAGAAAAGAAAGTGCCACTGACCGTGTCCAGGAGAGCGGTGGGATCCTGCGGCGTCTCTTTGGGCGTGGAGCCCGCGGGCGGCGGGAAGTTGGGGCTGAAAACCATGAGGTCGCTCTTGCCCGCGCCCTCCGCCACGCACACGCTCCGGCTCTGGCGCTGCGAGTACGACCAGCTCCCCACTTCGCTGGCGCACACCAGCGTCGTCGGACCGGGCCCCGACAGCACGGACGCCCGCGGCGACCACCGCGACGCCGCGTACAGCACCACGGCCAGCAGAAACACGCTCGACACCGCGCAGATGGCCACCACCAGCCACACGTTCGTCGTCGCCGACGGGGACGCGCCGCCATCGATGCCCGATATCGGGCCTCGCAGCACCGATCCCGACGAACCCGCTCCCACGCCCGCCGCCAGCGCCGCCCCGG